AAGTTACTGAGTTCTGGGGCATTGGAGTCATGCAAGTTCACTACCCAATCCGCAGCTGGTCCATCCAGGGCAGATTGCACGATCCGGATGCGGGCTTTGTCGCTGGGAATATCCTGCCCATATTCCTCCATGTAGCTGAGGACTTGGGTTAGAAAAAACCCCAAGCGTGTTGGCTCCCCTTTGAATTTCACTTCCAACGGTGGACGTCTTGGAATGGATCGGTGCCTCTGTTGTGGGTGGTAGTGCCTTCCGTCCAGATTGCCATCTGTGGTCCAGTAGGGGGTGGGAGCTCCTGGATCAGTAGATGTCCCTGGGGTTGCAGGTTCCACGTCCCCCTCGGTGTCTCTCCCTTTGCGGCTCCAGGAACTGGGGCAGCCGTAGGGTTCAGTATTCTCCTCTCCTAGGGAGCTGAGAGTTCTCTTCATCAGGTCAATAGCTTTCTCTAGGATCCAGTCTGAGTACGGTGCCCAGCTTTCTCCCTCTTCACTTGCGTGCAGGGATTTCTCCATCTCCTGCTTCCATTCTGGTTGCTTGGTCCCCCGTCTCAGGGTCACCTTTCTTGATTCCTTTCCCCACCCACTTTTCTTTCCAACGCCCATCGACCAGCGAGGCTTGTGGTCCTGTGTCTCCACCACTTCTTCTCCTGAGGAATCTGGCCTCTCGGATCCCAACATCTGGCAAGGTTCCAACTGGTCAGCGGCTCTCTTTCCAGGGAGTTTTCCCCCTCTCTTGCTCCATTGTCTGACATGGTAAATTTTTGCAAAATCCCCCGGCAAGGGTCTTCCCTTCCAGGTGGATTAATTTTGCAAGTCCTGTCTAATGTAAGGACCCCCCCCCACTTTGCATCTTAAGAAGACAGAACTCTTGGAATAATTCTTCCAACAGGAATCCTTTATTAAGAGAAAATGGTTGCAGGCATGCTAGACAGGACTTGGGGTCCAAGCTCTCCCATTCAAGGTTTTAAGGGGTTCCCCAGTAGTCCCACCCAATCAACCCCCCTTCCAGTGATAGTTTCAAGTATCACAATTCCACCCCGTTTCTTCTTTCTTCCGTCTGGATGGAGACTTCAGATAACTACATGAAAGGCAAATACTCTTCTTTGTTAATGTTAATGTTCTCTGGATGCTAACGCTTTGAGGTTACAATAGGTTACAATAAACACACATACAGCATTCAGCTCTTTGAAGTCTACTGAAGGAAGTGAGGGCCATAAAGCCCCTTTGTTCTCCCCCTTCTCTCCCTCTTATGGCAGAATCCAAAGAAGGCAGAATTGGGAGTTTCTATATTTGATAATTAAAGATGAAATATGATTGGATTCTGACAGTCATCTTGTTTTGGCCATGAGCCAATCAGATCACAGTAGGACTCAGTTATTGATGTCCTGTATTGAAGCTGAGAGGACGACATTTGTCAGTTATGTGTTACATGATCGCTATCAAGTTGGTTGGGTTTTTTTTTTTGTGTTCTTTCATTTAGTGAGCTTGTAAAACGTCATAAAATTAAAGTAATGGTGCCAAGAGTTGACCGGTCGCCCAGAAAGCGATGTAAAACAGTATTATTAAGTGGACAAGGCTACAGTTATAAAGAAATTAGAAGAAAAATGGGTGGAAACTTAACCAAAGGGGGCATTTCTACTGTACACTTTTCCCAAAAGGTTTCCACAATTTTGGCCACGACTGTAACATGCCAAGCTGACTTGCCACATACATGTCAACAGCTGGAGCGAAAGCAACAACTCAACTTGCTAATTTGAGAAACTGGTTTGTATTTTAGGATAACCCAATCTGAAATAAAAAGATAGCGGACTTCGGCTCATCAGGAAAATTGATAATGGCGAATTGCATTTTCGTCCTCGCTCACGGAATGCAAACTGTCTCAATCTGGAGGATTTAAAATTCAAAATGCTCTGTTTCGGGCATGGAATGGCACCCTTCTTCTAATATAAAATAGACAAAGAAGATGGGGGGAAAAACCATTTTATGCTTCAAATGCTTGCTCCTCGTTCAAAACTAGGTGTTTTACGTTGAAGACAAGGTGTTTTAAACTCAAATCAGTTTGATGCAAAATGTTGTGACTGTCTCAAGTGCCATGTTTTCTCAATCTTGGGGAGCCTAAGATGTGTGGATTTCAACTCCCAGAATTCTCCAGCCAGAATGGGGAATTTGGGAGTCGAAGTCCACACGTCTTAAGAGTTGCCAAAGTTGAGAAACACTAGTACTTTGAATAAATATATGCATAACTACTATTATTATTTAACAAGGGTTTAAGCTAGCAGCCATGGAAGCAACTATGACTTCTGTTGGAACAAAAGATAAACGATGTAATGGTGTTAACAATCCTATTCTGTTTAAGAAGGAAATATCTTAGTAATAGTAGTAAAGTTGGAAGGGACCTTGGAGGTCATCTAGTCCAACCCCGCTGTAGTTTTTTTCAAACATTTTATGCAATTATGGCACTCTTGCTGTTGTCAATCAAAAGCTTACCACAGAGAGCAAATTCACATTTTGGAGCCGAATCTTAAGATCTCCCACAATTTATTCCATTTATGTAAAGCCTGAACATGGTGTAACATGAAACTGGTTTATTTTTACTGGATACTTGCTAGTTTCCAAATTAAATGCAGACCTCAAATGATTCTAAATTTTATTTTGCACAGTTTGGGAGGAAATCTATATCAGTTTCCTACAAAACAGGAAACTCTAGCAAAAGTGTATTACATGTTATTAGCACAGATATGACCCCAAGTAGCTGGATTTTTTACTTATGATGCCAGCTCTTCAGGAATACATACGGTCATCTTGGGAGAGGAGCTAAAGAGAAAGTGAAACTTATACAAACTGGTTCTCCACATATAACCTCCAACATAATGCCCACTTGAAGAAGATTTACATAATTACAAGAGCCTCACTATTCATCTGTGCCATTCCACATGTGGGCAAGTCAGTTCCTACAAAAAAAATCCAGCATTTTCTCCTGCTGGAACTCCAACATAAGATCCCTAAGCATCAAGGAATGATATTCTGTTAATCCTCTCTCAAGCAGTATTTCATAAATTGAATATCTGGACCTGACATGTGGTGGTTTGAAAACAATAATAACCGGTTGCATAGATTTATGCAGGGATTAGGCACACATGACATTAGACCAGTGTTTCTCAATCTAAGAAACTTGAATAGGTATGGACTTCTTGTCCCCTTAATTCACCTGTGTCAAGAAAAAGTCCTAATATGGCAATAATATGTTCAGCAGTTGTCAGTTAAAACGTAAAATATGTACAAATCACGCGATGTGCAGGAAAAATATAAGTTGAAGGTAGATTCTATTTAATTGTTTCACACAATTATCCCTTCTAGATTTTTAACCTATCTTATCTCTATCTATCTATCTATCTATCTATCTATCTATCTATCTATCTATCTATCTATCTATCTATCTATCTTCCATTTCTCTATATCTGTCTGTCTGTCTGTCTGTGTCTGCCTGCCTGCCTATCTATCTATCTGTCTGTCTATCTATCTATCATCCATCCATCCTTCTATCTATCTATCATCCATCCATCCTTCTATCTATCTATCTATTTATCTATCTATCTATCATCCATCCATCACCCATCATCTATCTATCTATCTATCTATCTATCTATCTATCTATCTATCTATCTATCTATCTATCTATCTATCTATCTATCTATCACCCATCCATCACCCATCATCTATCTATCTATCTATCTATCTATCTATCTATCTATCTATCTATCTATCCATCCATCTATCTACCTGTGTCTGTCTGTCTGTCTGTCTGTCTGTCTGTCTATCTATCTATCTATCTATCTATCTATCTATCTATCTATCTATCTATCTAGCTTCCATTTCTCTATATCTGTCTGTCTGTCTGTCTGTGTCTGCCTGCCTGCCTGCCTGCCTGCCTATCTATCTATCTGTCTGTCTATCTATCATCCATCCATCCTTCTATCTATCTATCTATCTATCTATCTATCTATCTATCTATCATCCATCCATCATCCATCATCTATCTATCTATCTATCTATCTATCTATCTATCTATCTATCTATCTATCTATCCATCCATCCATCCATCCATCCATCTATCTACCGGTGTCTGTCTGTCTATCTATCTATCTATCTATCTATCTATCTATCTATCTATCTATCTATCTATCTATCTATCCATCCATCCATCCATCCATCCATCCATCCATCCATCTATCTATCTATCATCCATCTATCTATAGCTATCTGTCTGTCCGTCTATTTATCTATATATACAATGGATAATAGCAAGCTACATAGCTTAGAAACTGGGTCAACAGCTTATGTGAAGCTCACAATTGCTGTTCAAATACAAGGACTGGAAACACCACAAGGCCTAACTTCCAGCCTGTTGGCTATGGATATTCTCAATCATCCAGGTCATGGTTATTCCAAAGGTGTTTTTCCAAAAGGCAACTGGATTTCCTTGTTTTGTTTTCCTTTGAAAACGTCTCACTTCTCATCCAAGAAGTGGATCTGAACTGGAGAAGCTTCTTGGATAAGAAGCAAAATGTTTTCAACAGAAAAAAAACCCAAGCCCAGTTGCCTTTTGGAAAAGCACCTTGGGGACTTCTAGCCTAGTGTAAGTAAGCTTTGGACAGTTATTTCCAACTTCATTTTAAAAAAGATAAGAAATAGGGTGTGCCTTCTACAGAAGTCTAACAAGATTGCCTTGCTGGATTATTTCAAGAGTCTGAAATTGGACTGTACAGTTTACCGCTAACACAAGCTGATACCAAGGACAAAACCAGGGGTTTCATTGTTCAATACTGCAGCAAATAACTAATTAGGCAGCTAAAGAGTCAATGGGTTAACCCTTTACTTTCATCTGCCATGTAACTAAGCAATAGTGGTTTGTGTTATTTGTCAGGGAAGATTCACAAAAATCAGATTGCAAAGAAAAGAGAGCCAATGACATATTTTTAGTGTTCAGTAGTTTGTAACAGTTACCTTTTGAGTTGCTTGAGATCCAAACTTGCTAGCCTGTTGACAAAAGCAAAATTGGCTTATTTCAATTCCACGTTTCCTTTCCAAAATCAAAAATTCAAACTCTCTACAAATTCTAGGATTCTTTTTAATTTTATTAAGTATGCCTTCCTCCTACCATCTTAAGGAACTGGCAACAATTATGTCCCTGGATCCCAAATTATGTGCTGTTTGAATCCATCCACACAAAAGGTTTTTAACGCTACCCAAATGTACTTCAGTCATTTCTTTATTTTTCATGAGGCTAACCATCTTTCATACGTTTCTGAAACAATATTACCAATCTATCAAGTCTGAAAGCTATAGAAAAAATATACCAGATGCACAAACAAGAAAATCCAGGGTACAATGGCAAGGATAAATGCTATTATTACTGACATGATCTCAATTATAGTATTCTTGGTGAGTAACAACAAATTATAGAGCTTTGCTTCATGAGTCTTTACATCTAACAGTCTAAGCCAGTGGTTCTCAACCTGTGGGTCGGGACCCCATTTGGGGTCGAATGACCATTTCACGGGGGTCACCAAACCATGCTATCTGCCATTTTTTTCCCTTTTCCCTAGCTGTCCTACTCCCTCTTATTGGTGGCCACACCCACTTGGGGGTCACCACAACATGGGGAACTGTATTATGGGGTCACGGTATTAGAAAGGTTGAGAATCAGTGGTCTAAGCAATATTTTTATATACATTCATAGGAACCGTATTTACTTAATATTATAAGGAAATACCAGAGCTATTTTATATTTAAACAGATGGTCTGGAAGATACTAGAAAACAACGTATGAAAACACTCTAGGCTGGTTATTCAAGGCCACTTGGCGTCACAATTTTTCCTGAAGTCAGCTATCTGCAAATATCTTGGCTGTTCCAAATATCTTTTTTGAAAATTATCTCAAGCGCTTGTTTTGAAACAATACTAGTCTTTATTGACAATCGTATACAGGGAGTCCCTGACTTACAACCACAACTGAGCCCAAAATTTCCATTGCTAAGCAAGACAATTGTTAAATGAGTTTTGCCCTATTTTACAATCTTTCTTGCCACAGTTGTTAAGTGAATCACTGCAGTTAAGTTAGTAACACGATTGTTAAGTAAATCTGGCTTCCCCATGGACTTCACTTGTCGACCTCTCGTTACGACGTTTGTTACAAGTTACAACGCCACAGAAAAAAAAGTGGCTTAATGGCTCTTTTTCACACTGATGACCGTTTTTGCGGCATCCCCAGGGTCACATGATCAAAATTCAGAGGCTTGGCAACTGACGTGTACTGATGACAGTTGCACTGTCCTGGGGTCACGTGATCACTGTTTGTGACCTTCTGACAAGCAAGGTCAATGGGGAAGCCAGATTCACTTAACAACCGTGTTCCTAATTTAACAACCGCAGTGATTCGCTTAATAACTGTGATAAGACAGGTTGTAAAATGGGGCAAAACTCACTTAACAACTGTCTTGCTTAGCAATGGAAATGTTGGGTTCAATTGTGGTCATAACTCCAGGACTACCTGTAAATACATTGGCCAGTCAGAATATTTACTTACACCCTCTTTAGCTGCAGAGGCGAACTTGCTTGCTCCAGATGTAAAACTACTCCAGCCCTGGAAAAAAAGAGATTGAAGGTCAGTGCTTTGTGGAGAGACTTCAGTAAAAACAGGGCTCTGTTCTGGGCCCAGTGCTTTTCAACATCTTCATCAACGATTTGGATGAGGGGATAGACGGGGAACTCATCAAATTTGCAGACGACACTAAGCTGGCAGGAATAGCCAACATTCCAGAAGACAGGCTTAGGATACAGGAGGATCTGGACAGACTTGAATACTGGGCACTAACTAACAAAATGAAATTCAATGGTGAAAAAAGTAAGGTTCTACATTTAGGCAAGAAAGACCAAATACACAGGTATAGTATAGGGGGTACCTTGCTCAAGAGTAGTAAGAGGGATCTCGGAGTCCTAGTGGACAATCACTTAAATATGCTGCAGCTGCCAAAAAAGTCAACACAGTGCTAGGCTGCATTAACAGAGGGATAGAATCAAGATCACGTGAAGTGTTAATACCACTTTACAATGCCTTGGTAAGGCCACACTTGGAATACTGCATCCAGTTTTGGTCACCACGATGTAAAAAGATGTTGAGACTCTAGAAAGAGTACAGAGAAGAGCAACAAAGATGATTAGGGGACTGGAGGCTAAAACATATAAGGAACGGTTGCTGGAATTGGGTATGTCTAGTTTAACGAAGAGAAGGACGAGGGGGGACACGATAGCAGTGTTCCAATATCTCAGAGGCTGCCACAAAGAAGAGGGAATCAAGCTATTCTCCAAAGCACTTGAGGGCAGGACAAGAAGCAACGGATGGAAACTAATCAAGGAGAGAAGCAACCTAGAACTAAGGAGAAACTTCCTGACAGTTAGAACAATTAACCAGTGGAACAACCTGCCTCCAGAAGTGGTGAATGCTCCAACACTGGAAGTTTTTAAGAAGAGACTGGACAGCCATTTGTCTGAAATGGTATAGGGCTTCCTGCCTGAGCAGGGGGTTGGACTAGATGACCTCCAAGGTCCCTTACAACTTTATTGTTGTTGTTGTTGTTGTTGCACATAGAGCAAAGGGAATTTTCAAAAGATGCTCTACGTTTCGGGTCTTGCCTGCTGCTTTCGGATCTTCAGGTCTACTATCAAGGAGAATTATGACTCTGTTACTTATATAAAATGAAACCTGAAGGAAAAGTTGGCTTTCCTTCTGCTTCATTTTAGGTGGCCCAGATTAGCTTCAGGAAGCCAGGTTTCGCAGCTTGATGCCCTTCGTCCTTCTGAAGCTTTACAGCAAACATTTTTCAAACTTGGCTCCTTTAAGATGTCTGGACTTCAACTCCCAGCATTCCCTGGGCAAGTTTGAAAAACACTGCTTTGGAGCAGACTCTATTTGAAACGACTTGTCTGAAATGGTATAGGGTTTCCTGCCTGAGCAGGGGGTTAGACTAGATGACCTTCAAGGTCCCTTCCAACTCTTGTTATTCTGTTAACTATCCCTTTTACTTGGGATGCTAGGAACTATATGCATGCACAAAGACTTTATCCAACTTTTATCCACACCCTTATCCAACTAAATCTCAGCTTCTTCATTTTTCAAAGCTGTACTGCAGTGCTTGAAATAATCTAAAACTGTAAATCTTTTCTTGACTATTATTCCAGACAGGAGTAAAATCATCCAATCATATTAGGATTCCTAATGTTATTCTTTTTTTTTAAAAAAAAAGAAGATATTAGAAATGACAGGACAGCAAAGCAACATCTTAAATTAGCGCACATACGAAAAATTGTGACTTACTGAGTAGAGAGAAGACATAGCATTATTGAGGAAGTCATCTTCTTTTTTTGGAGGAGTGACTGTGTTCCCAAACCCAACGTAGCGATTTTCTTGGCCGCTGAATTGGAACACAAAAAGAAGGAAGGATAAGCCATTTATAATCCAAATACATTTGCTGGTCTTTAAAGTGCTGCAAGGGCCACTTAGGTGCAGTGCAATCTTTCCCAAGCTTGGCAATTTTAAGCTGTCTGGACTTCAACTCCCAGAATACCCCAGTCAACCATGCTGGCTGGGGGATTCTGGGAGTTGAAGTCCACATACCTTGAAGCTGCTGAGGTTGAAAAACATTGGTCTAGCACAGGGGTCTTCAAACGTGGCCCTTTGATGACTTGTGGATTTCAACTCCCAGAATTCCTCAGCCAGGTACGCTGGCTGAGGAATTCTGGGAGTTGAAGTCTACAAGTCATCAAAGGGCCAACCTTGAAGACCCCTGGTCTAGCGGCTAAAGGCAACAGATTAGAAGCTGGGAGAGCTGAGTTCTAGCCCCACCTCAGATACAAAACCCCGAGCCAGTTACTGTTTCTTGGCCCTAGGAAGGAGGCAATGGCTGACCACTTCCAAAAAAGTTGTCAAGGAAATTGTAGGGACTTGTCCAGGCAGTAACTCTAAGCCAAAACTGATTTGAAGGCATTAAAAAAAGAAAAGATTCTTCAAAGCCTTTTGCTGAATTCCATCTAAAATGGGAAATGGGATTTACCTTTGATAGGAACCAACGTCATCATTCAACCAATCTTCAAATGCTTTATCAGAAGTGGGACCGGTATTCTGCGGTTGCGCCCCAGAGCTTCTGCAGAAAATGACGACATCAAAATGAAATCGCGGAAAGGCAATCTCTGTTACATTACAGTAGTGGCCAAAATTGTGGAAACTTTTTGGGAAAAGTGTACTTTTGAGGTTTGATGACTAATAACACCACTTTTTTTTTGGAGTAGCACCATAAAATTATATATCAATGGAAAGATAATTAAATCAAGAATGTAATGCAACAAAGTTTGTTCAATTATCTGTACTGTATTCTGTGAAAAGTTATAGCCAAATAACCAGAAAAAGGAAGCACAACTTGCTTAGGTTGATCTCGGGTAGCTTTCCTTCATCTGACTGTAGCCAATGAGCATGAGTGTTTAGAGAACCAATCGGGTGTAATCTTGTTTTGGCCATGAGCCAATCAGATCACAGTAGGATTCAGTTATTGATGTCCTGTATTGAAGCTGAGAAGAGGACATTGGTCAGTGTGTCGTGTGATGGCTATCAAGTGGGTTGGGGTTATTTTGTGTTCTTTCATTGAGTGAGCTTGTAAAATGTAATAAAATTAAAGTAATGGGGCAAAGAGTTGACCGGTCGCCCAGAAAACGATGTAAAACAGTATTATTAAGTGAACAAGGCTACAGTTATAAAGAAATTAGAAGAAAAATGGGTGGAAACTTAACCAAAGGGGGCATTTCTACTGTACACTTTTCCCAAAAGGTTTCCACTACTGTCCAAACACCTTTTGTTGTCTCACAGAACGTCCTGCAACCTGCTACACTACTGTCAACCTAGGAAAATTGGGCACAAATGTGATCTCTAGCTGAGCCGACATAGCAAATCCGCCCTTTGCTCACAGATGCATTTATTTTTAGTTAATTGGCTCATTTTCCCTGTGAAGATTTATATTCTGTTCTTTTGTTCAGGCGGAACGAGGGAGGCAAGCTCTCGCTTACGCGTGCACCTGTGCTCTCTAAACCATTGTTTCTCAACCTTGACGATTTTAAGGCATGTGGACTTCAACTCCCAGAATTCCACAGCCAGCATCGCTGGCTGTGGAATTCTGGGAGTTGAAGTCCACATGCCTTAAAATTGTCAAGGTTGAGAAACATTGCGTCTAAACGTTCAGCTGCGTTCCTCAAGCAACTGTGCTTTGGTAGTAAAAACGAAAGCTTTAAAATATCACCGAAACCACGAAATGTTTACCGATGAACTGAGGACAAAGCAACCTTGGGCTGCGGAGGGTTCCAGTTCCGAGCAGCAGAGGTTTCAAAGGACCATTCTTTGCCCTCAGCTAACACGGCCACCTAAAGAAAGAAAGGACTTTAAAAACAAACAAATGATGTTTCCTGTAGTGGGAGAGATGGGGAACCGTGGCCCCTTTATGACCTGTAGCCTTCAACTCCCAGAATTCCCGAGCCAGCCAAGGTTCCCCACCCCTGCTTTAGCGCAACAAGAACAGGACAGGTTGAACACGATTGGACCCTTAAGATCTAGAAAATATCTCCATGCCTTGTTCTGAGACAGAGGCAGACAAGTTTCTCTACTCTGAGTTGACATTTCCTCTTTCTACCTTGCCTGGGACTGCTAATGGTTGTACAGGCAGCCATGTAGCCGAGCACTTGGAAGTCTGGTCATGCTGTAGCCCCAAGATAGCTCTGTGGTAACTAAGTGGCCAGTCTTAAGTCGAGAACTAGCTGTAGAGAGAGTGTGCCTCCTCCTATGTTCCCCACAACAATAACCCCAAGGTGGATTGGGCTGAGAGAATGTGACTGGCTCAAAGTCACCCATCCAGCTTTCCTGCCTAAGGAGGGACTAGAACTCGCAGTCTCCTGGTGACTGCCCAAAGTCACCCGGACGGTCTTCATGCCTAAGGCGGGATTAGAGCTCGTGGTTTTTAGATGAACACCATAATCACTACAGCAAACAAGCTCTTTAGGCATTAATTTGGCCCTCACCCTACTATCCTCTCCCCAAATAGATCTAAATTGAGGAGGGGAGGGGAGAGGAGGGGAGGGGAAAGGAAAGGAAAGGAAAAGGAGAGGAGAAAAGGAGAGGAGAAAAGGAGAGGAGGGGAGGGGAGGGAAGAGGAAAGGAGAGGAGGGGAAAGGAAAGGAAAGGAAAGGAAAAGGAAAAGGAAAGAAAAGGAGAGGAGATGAGAAAAGAAGGAGAGGAGGACGAGAGGAGGGGAGAGGAGAGAGGAGAGGAGAAAAGAAGGAGAGGAGAGGAAAGGAAAGGAGAAAAGAAGGAGAGGAGAGGAGGGGAGGGGAGGGAAGGAGGGGAGAGGAAGGGAAAGGAAAGGAAAAGGAAAGGAAAGAAAAGGAGAGGAGAGGAGAAAAGAAGGAGAGGAGGGGAGAGGAGAGGAGAGAGGAGAGGAGAAAAGGAGAGGAGAGGAAAGCAGAAAAAAGGAGAGGAGGGGAGGGAAGAGGAGAGGAATGATGAGAGGAGAGGAGAACAGAAGGAGAGGAGAGGAGAGGAGAGGAGAGGAGGGGAGAGAGGAGAGGAGAAAAGGAGAGGAGAGGAAAGCAGAAAAAAGGAGAGGAGGGGAGGGAAGAGGAGAGGAATGATGAGAGGAGAGGAGAACAGGAGGAGAGGAGAGGAGGGGAGAGGAGAGAGGAGAGAGGAGAGGAGAAAAGGAGAGGAGAGGAAAGCAGAAAAAAGGAGAGGAGGGGAGGGAAGAGGAGAGGAATGATGAGACGAGAGGAGAGGAGAGAAGAAGGAGAGGAGGAGAGAGGAGGGGAGAGGAGAGGAGAAAAGAAAGAGAGGAGGGGAGAGGAGAGGAAGGGAGAGGAGAAAAGGAGAGGAGAGGAGGTGGGAGGAGAGGGGAGAGAAGGAGGGGGAAGGGGAGAGGAGACGAGACCTTGGAGATCATCTAGACAAAAACCCCTGTTCGAGCAGGAGACTCTATACCATTTTAGACAAATGGCTGTCCAGTCTCTTCTTGAAATCCTCCAGTGATGCAGCACCCACAACTGGTGCCCCATCACTGGTGCCCCATCACAAAGGTTCCACTTGGTTTGGACTTAAAAGTTCTAGGACTGCAAAAGATGTCCTGGGGGGGGGGCATATATGCCTGACAAACCACCCACACGTATACTGGGAGTAGAGAGAAGTGGCAGGGCTTAAATTAGGGAAACAGCCACGGGCTTGCTGACAGCTCATAACAAGAGAGGACTACAATCATCAGTGAAGACAGCTTGAAAGAGGAAAAGAAAAATAAACTGTCCGTGCCAGTAAAAAAAAAAAACCCCTCCGTGTTAATGGGAATGATGGCTGGGGTGAATTTCAGAAAGAGAAGGCTGCTGACAATTCCAGATCAGCCACAAGAAGTGCTGATCTCAACACGTTCTTACCACATAGCCTCTTACTATTTTTATGGTTCGGTAAATGGCACGTGATTTATTTGGGCAGGTGGTGAGAATTTGCAGAATCACCAGAATGGAACAAGTACAGACAAAACACAGCCATGTTCACTTTTCTACTTAAAAAAAAAACAAACAACCCACTGCTTTCCTGAAAAACACTGTGGCTGGGAAATGTCGTGGATTCAAAACAAACATTTGGATTGTTCTGAGAATGAGATAGAAAGCCTGCATTTTGCTAAGAGTTTCATTCTGGCATTAAAACAAACTGTTTCGAGCGGGGTTGATTTGAATAGGGTAAAAGGTAAAAAGTTAAGTTTTCCCGTCCGGTCATGTCCGACTCTGGGGCACAGTGTTCATTTCCGTTTCTTGGCCGAAGAAACCAGAGTTGTCCAAAGACATTTTCCGTGGTCAGGTGGCCAGCGTGACTATACACCAGAGGTGCACCGAATGCTGTTAGCTTCTCATCGAAGTAGTACCTATTTATCTACTCGCATTTGCATACTTTCAAACTGTGTCATGCCTCCGTTGGAGTCATGAGCTGGAACGGGATCCTATGGAGCAGTGGTTCTCAACCTTTTTAATGCCGTGACCCCCAACTGGTCATAAGTCGAGGACTATTCAACCGGTCGTAAGTCGAGGACTACTCAACTGGTACAGCACCGTTTGCAGAATGGGACTTTTGGCGGGCTCAGCAGGGCAGAGACAGCTTGGACAATTCCTATTGGCTTTTGAAAGCCAATAGAATTAGACTCTATTCAAGAGAGTCTATTCTATTGGCTTTCAAAAGCCAATAGAATAAAAGGGAGTAGCACAGCTAAGGAAAAGGGGGAAAAAAATGGCGGACTGCGTTGTTTGGCGACCCCCGTGAAATGGTCGTTCGACCCCAAATGGGGTCCCGACCCACAGGTGGAGAACCACTGCTATGGAGGCTGAGGGAGAGGTGTCTGTGGTTTCAGAGGAATGTGGGGAAGAGCAGGCCGAGGCAGGCCAGGGCCCTTCAGGAGTGGGCACCCCCTCCTGAACCTAGAGCACGGAGAGTGGAGAGAAAGAGGGAACAACGCAGGCAGGCTCAACTACTTGGGAGGAGAGCGCCCCACCTCTCTACATAAAGCACAGCTGGGGACTGAGACTTAAGGAGACGTTACAGGGAGGGGCATTTATCGGGAACAAATGCTGACTCCTTGGAGTTTTGTGTGTGTTGTTGCTGACCTCTTGTTCTGTGACTTCTGCTTGGAAACCCGGAAAACTCTTGACCCTTGGACTGGCTGACAGTGTTGCTTGGATGTTGAGAGAACTCGGACTGTATTTTGGCTTCCCTTCTGAGACTGCTCAGGCAAGCATGTATTCACACAGACTCGTTAGGTTTAGGATGTATGTGGGAGCATTTGGGGAAAATTTGGAGCAATTAAAGGGCAGATTGAATTGCCAGCTGACTGCATTGCCTCTGTCCTGTGCCCTGGGTCATCACAAACTGCTAAGTAGGCAAGTAACGGAAGCTCATCCCGTTGTGCAGCACGTAGGTCTCGAACCCCGATTGTCAGGTTTCCAGCTGACAAGCTCAGTGTGTCTTTAACCGCTGAGCCATGGCGTCCTCTCTGATTTGAACAGGGATCTGCAAATTATTCCTCCCTCAGACTGTTTCAGTCAAAAAGGGGGGATTTTGAATGTTTCAATTGTGAAAATGAAATCGTTGAGTGTGAAACGATAACAATTTTTTTCTCTCACATGCACACACTTCATAATAACCTAAATAATAAACTCAATGTTCCATTTGTCAAAAAACATATACTGCGGAAGCCAAACTAGAGAAATTCTGAGGCCGTAAATCAGTCTCTTTCTCATCTTGACAGGTTAATTTTCGTAGAAATGCAGAATCCTAAATGGAGGCTTCAAAAAAAAAAAAAAAAAAAAGCAAAGCAAGATCCAAGAACGTTGCAATCATGCTTAATCGGATTTACCTTATCTCTGAACAGTGCTGCAGCTCTGCTGTTGTACTTCTCTTGCAACGACCAGCAAGGGTCATAATCATCCTGAGACTCTAAAAACTCTCGGAATTTCAGGTTACCGCCGGCCTTCATTTTCTCCAATTCGATGTCTTTCCATTTGTCCATTGTGACAGAGCGCACAAAACTGAAAAACCACAATTCAACGGCTTCTCAGTATGCCAGTAGAGCAATCAGCGTTGAAACACAGATTTGTTTATTTAGGACATTTATTTATTTTATTTATTTAGGAAATGTATCGGCCACCCATCTTATTTTAGAAGGGTAACTCTGGGAGGCTTGCAGTCGTAAAACATAAAAACTGTACAAAGATAAAAGCATAAATAAAATACTACACACAGCCAAGTACAAGTGAAAGATGGCCCAATTAAAAACTGGGGAGGGTTGGAGCAAAATAGGGGGGGAGAGGTGGTATCTGTTGTTAATCGATCAACCACCTCCCCCAACTCAAGAATTTCCAAAATTTTGTTACATGTGAAAAACGATCATGTCACTTTTTTCGGTGCTGTTGTAACTTTGAATGGTCACTAAATGAACTGTGGTAAGTCAAGAACTACCTATATTGTGACTTGACCACTAAGCATCCGTATCACTACATTCTGGACCAGCTGAACTTCTTTAGGTGGTCTTCAAGCTCATGGAGAGGGAATTGTAATAACCTAAACTAGAGATAAGGATATGAGTGACCATAATCTAATGCCTCTTGTTGCAGATGTGTCACTGAAGCTGTGCAAAGCCCTTTCTGGCCATGGTCTCCATCTGACCTTAGAGCAGGAGCTGAGAGTCCAGGAGGAACTCCCATTTCTAAGGCTATTCTTCCTGAGAAAACAGAACAGCATCCAGAGTCAACTGGAATCAGATGGCGATGGAGATTCTCAGTCATCCAGGTTGTAGTTGTCCCAAAGGTGTTTTTTTCAGGAGGCAACTGCCTTCCTTGTTTTTCTCTGAAGATGTTTTGCTTCTCCTCCCAGAAGCTTCTTCAGCTCTGACTGGATGGTGGGGAATGGAAGGATTTATACTCCTTGCAGACAGCTGGTCATTTGCCTTCTTTTAGAGCAGGGGTGACAAACTGCCGGCCCGCGGGCCGGATGCATTATCAGGAAACCACGCCCACCCCAGCAATGGCGAAAAAGCTCCGATGCGTTGCATGACGTCGCGAGTTTGACATGTCTGTTTTAAAGAGTCACTGAGGCCACATGGAGATTTATCTGTGTCCTCAGGGTCACCTGAGTGGTGCAAATTGGAGCCTTCTTGGCTGCAGGATGTTTTTCTGCCCTGGGTCCCTTCACCGCTGAAGACAGGCGCAGGCTTGTTGGGGATGAGTCTGTGTTGTCTGCAGCTCAAACTGAAGCGCAAATGGTTCCTGTAGCCTGCGATGTTTTCTGGGAATCCATTCATGCTCTCGCACCATTCGAAGGGGGTTCATCCCAAAGTGCATAGCTAAATGCATCCCCAACAGCCTGCAGCCAAGAAGGCTCCACACAAATTTGCACTACTCAGATGACCTTGAGGACACAGACAAACCTCCAAGTGGCCTCAACGACTCTCTAAAAGAAGGCAAATGACCGGCTGTCTACAAGGAGTATAAATCCTTCCATTCCCCACCATCCAGTCAGAGCTGAAGAAGCTTCTGGGATGAGAAGTGAAACGTCTTCAAAGAGGGGGAACCTGTGGCTCAAAAGGCTAATACAGCTGCCTAACATGCAAGCTGCCCAGGTTCGAATCCCTGAAGGATGACTAGCTGATGAGGGCAAAAGAGTCTGAAATAGCTATTTATACTAGTCTCCCACTAACTCTTTGTCAGCCACAAAAAAAATTGAATTTATTTTTCCAAAGTGCCTAAAGGCAGGACAAGAAGCAACGGATGGAAACTAATCAAGGAGAGAAGCAACCTAGAACTAAGGAGAAACTTCCTGACAGTGAGAACAATTAACCAGTGGAACAACCTGCCTCCAGAAGCGGTGAATGCTCCAACACTGGAAGTCTTTAAGAAGAGACTGGACAGCCATTTGTACGAAATGGTGTAGGGTTTCTGTCCTGAGCAGGGGGTTGGACTTGATGACCTCCAAAGTCCCTTCCAACATTATTATTATTATGGATCATCGCACAGTCAACCAGATGTTCAGACTGGATTTGGCATTTTGTCTACCTATCGAATCCTTACCCACGACCTGGGATAGGCAGATGTGGATGTTTGATGGTATTACAGATATCGTCGCAGGATGGAAGCAGTTCCTAGTAAGGCCGCCTTTTGCAATTGACTAATAGCAAATTTGTCAATGCCAATGGTGTTCAAATGGTGCTCCAGTTGTTTTGGGATTGCACCCAAGGAGCCTATTACTATTCGTACTACCCTTGCTTGCTTTTGCCACAATCTTTCTATTTCTATTTGTAGGTCTTTGTATTTTGTTATTTTCTCCAGTTCTTTCTCGTCTATTCTGCTGTCTCCAGGCACTGCCATGTCCACTATCCAGACTTTTTTGTCTTTCTTATTGACAATTGTTAAGTTTGGGGTATTATGTTGCAGGTGCTTGTCTGTTGTTGTTGTTATTATTATTATTATTATAACAAGAAAGTCCAGCTGCCTCATGAAAAAAGCACCTTTGGAATCCAATGGCCTCCAAATCCATGGTTAATCTGCTAGAACAGCTAGAATATTACGGCAGTGAAGAATCAGCTAGGGCTTTGTAACCAACAGCGAAAGTAATGACTGTCAAATAACTGCACAGCCAACAGCTATTCAGCGTGCTGGTTATCACTTCGAAAGTCCTGAATGGTACAGGGCCAGGATCCTATGAGAGTCTCTCAGTGTTATCTGCCTGTTCTGCCAGCAAAGACGGGTGGACACACTTCAGGTCCCTTTCCTTTACGGCTGCCATCCAGAAGGACCTGAGCAGCACGTCTCCTCAGAGGTGGCACCTGCCCTTTGGGACACTTTTCCTCCTGAGATCCAGCAGGCCACTTTTGGAAAAGTCCCGAAGACCTGGCTTTTCCCCACAAGCCTTAGCTAGCATGAGGTTGGAGACCAGTGAAATTGTTTGGAGATGTAAGGTAAGGGTAAAAGTGTCCCTGCGGACTTTACTCTGCTAGTTGTTGTCGACTCTAGGGGGCACTTGCTCATCTCCCTTTCAAGGCCACTGAGCCAGCGCTGTCCGAAGACATTTCCGCGGTCGTGTGGACATTATGTCATGGAGCGCTGTTACCTTCCCCCTGTAGTAGTAGTACCTATTTATCTACTCACATTTGCATGCTTTTGAACTGCTAGATTGGCAGGAGCTGAGGCAAGAAACGGGAGCTCACCCCGTCGCATGGCGTTTAGGTCTCGAACCCGGACTGCCAACTTTCTAGCCGACAAGCACAGCACCTTAACCACTGAGCCACTTGGAGATGTAAGGGGTATGCTGTTCTGGGGGAATGCCTGAAATTTTGAGGCTGGTTTTATGATTTTATTGTTTTTGTTACTGCTTCTAATCCAGTGGTTCTCAACCTTTTTAATGCCGCGACCCCCAACTGGTCGTAGGTCGAGGACTACCCAACCGGTCGTAAGTTGAGGACTACCCAACCGGTCGCAAGTCGAGGACTTTCCCTGCCCGGGAGCGCCTCGCATGCGTGGTGCCGCCCCCTGCGCCGGCCGAAGCGTAGCTGGCAAGCAACAGAGACGGCGCAGGCCTCCCACCGGCTGGGCTACCAGCTGGCCCAGCCCAAGGGAGGTAAGGCACCCGCCGGGCCCCACGCGCACCAGCAACCCTTCCTGCGCCCGCCGGCCTCCCACCTCCCACCCCTGGCCCTCTTTTACTTACATTTTTAGTAGTTGCTCAGCAGAGAGGGGTGGAAACTTCCAGACAGCTCGCCTTCGCTGCAGACAACTTGCAGCACCGTTTGCAGAATGGGACTTTTGGCGGCTCAGCAGGGCAGAGACAGCCTGGACAATTCCTATTGGCTTTTGAAAGCCAATAGAATTAGACTCTATTCAAGAGAGTCTATTCTATTGGCTTTCAAAAGCCAATAGAATAAAAGGGAGTAGCACAGCTAAGGAAAAGGGGGGGGAATGGTGGACTGCGTTGTTTGGCGACCCCCGTGAAATGGTCATTCGACCCCAAATGGGGTCCCGACCCACAGGTTGAGAACCTCTGTTCTAATCCAACGAGGGTTATGCCAGATGGGCAGCTATATAAATCTGCTCAGTAAATACAAGCAATGACATTAACAGTGCGCAAGAATTTCTTCTATTACTAATGCAGATGTATTGTCACAATCAATCACCAACCTCAGATGAACCCCCAAGCCTCTGTGTTTTCCTGAGCACTCCAGACAGATCCAAATTCCATAGGTCACACTCACCCACTGGGGGTTAAATGCACCACACTCAAAACAAACCTGTAAAGAGAAGGGGGGGAAAGGTAATTTGAGTTTTCCACAATAAACCCAGGTGTTTTTAGTCCTACCTCGAAAGCCGGTTGAGTGACTAAGGGCCAATCACCAGGAGATTAAGAGTTCTAGTTCCGCCTTAGGCATGAAAGCCGTCTGGGTGACTAAGGGCCAATCACCAAAGAGTTCTAGTCCCGCCTTAGGCATGAAAGCCAGCAGAGTGACTAAGGGCCAATCACCAGGAGATTAAGAGTTCTAGTCCCGCCTTAGGCATGAAAGCCGTCTGGGTGACTAAGGGCCAATCACCAAAGAGTTCTAGTCCCGCCTTAGGCATGAAAGCCAGCTGGGTGACTAAGGGCCAATCACCAGGAGACTAAGAGTTCTAGTCCCGCCTTAGGCATGAAAGCCAGCAGAGTGACTAAGGGCCAATCACCAGAGACTAAGAGATCTAGTCCCGCCTTAGGCATGAAAGCCGTCTGGGTGACTAAGGGCCAATCACCAGAGATATCTAGTCCCGCTTTAGGCATGAATCCCGGCTGGGTGACTTTGGACCAATCATTGTCTCTCAGCCCAACCTACCCCACAGGGTTGTTGTTGTGGGAAAAATAAAGGGAGGAAGGAGGATATAAAGTAACAATGATGGGATAAAAATGAAATAAATAAAATAATAGGCATTGTTCTTAAAAATGCTGTTAGGCTAAATCAACCTTAGATATGTCTATTAAAATAAGATTTTTCCAGGGAGTCACCACCCTGAAGTAATGAATCAAAGCAAAGCATGGAGGGGAGAAAAAATCATGAGTTTCAATCCATCCTCATCCTCAAGATGAATGGGTGACTCAGGCTATCTCTTAGGCCAGGGGTAGGCAACCTTGGCTCTTTTATGACCCGTGGACTTCAACTCCCAGAATTCCTGAGTCAGCATAGCTGGGAGTTGAAGTCCACGAGTCATAAAAGAGCCAAGGTTGCCTACCCCTGTCATAGCCCAACAGGGTTATCGTTGCAGGGAAAATGGGAGGTATGTCCATTTTCGTATGCTACCTTTAGTGATACAAAGTATAGGTGGAAATAATACCAAAGATGATGATGGTGATGAATTCTGGGTAGATGCAACGATGAAAGAAATAGGTTTTGTGAAGAGAATTCAATGTTTGTAGCAGAAAACCGCTGCCAACAACATAAAAACAGGCCCTGTGTCTGGGCACCATCAGAATCAAACCGACAATTTAATAGGAAACAGAAGGTAGAAAATCTAATTCGATCAACCATCGCCCATGCAGATTCTGAAACAGACGATGCATTATTAGTATGGGGTAAAACTAAACAACTGAAGGGAGCAGGCAAGATTTTGAGCTAGAAATCATGCAGTCAGAGCAGAAGAGCAATCTGAAGGCACTTTATATATGTGAAAAAGGAATCCGAAGAACTATGGAAAAAGATAAGAGATGCTGTAAAACCAAAACCAGGGGAAAAAAAACCCCATGATGTCATGGTGAAGAAGTGGGATTAGATCTGGAGAGACTCAGGTTGAAGCTCATCCTCAACCTTCCTCAGTGGCTTTAGACCACTCGCTCACTCTCAGCCCTTTCAAAGATTAAAAAATAAAAAATTAAGTGGTTTTACGAAGAAATAATCACAATAGTTACAGTAGGAAAAGATAGCAGATGAAAGCTTTGGACAATAAGAGAGAATCTAGCTTAACACCTAGGAGGAAACTGCACGGAACGATTCTCTTAATAAGAATGTTGGGGAAGAGAAGAAAGCCACGGAGAAGGGCGAAAATAGTTTTGAAAGAAGCCTGAGAAATCAAAAGAAAATTTACAGCGAGGGGGATCATGAAATAGATTTAAGAGAGGCAGAGTATGAAAGCCAAAACAAGGTTATATTAAACTTTTCACAAGCAGGATTAAGAATTATGAAAACATTTGTAGACAGAGACTGCACCAGACAGCGAAAGGGGAAAAACAACACAGCAGCTGTCAAATAGCAACCTGCCAAGCGCAAACAAAATAATCACATAAAGCTGTTTAAAGCTCCAGGAGAATAGGCAATTAAAGTGCTAACTGTTCTACAGTATATCAGCAGGGCACAAGGCTATGCAGCCAGGAGCCTGAAAAATATACTGAAGAAAAAAATAACACAATCACAGGTTGTCCTCGACTTACAACAGCTCATTTAGTGACCGCTCAAAATTACAACGGCACTGAAAAAAGTGAGCCATGACCATTTTTCACACTTACGACCACTGTAGCATCCCCAGGATCACGTGATTTACATTTGGATGCTTGGCCACTGACGCATATTTATGACGGTTACAGTGTCCCGGTGTCACGCGATCCTCTTTTGCAACCTTCTGACAAGAAGAGTCAATGGGGGAAGCCGGATCCACTCAACAACCGTGTTACTGCTCAATTTACGACCACAACGTTTCTTAAGTGAATCACTGCAGTTTAACAACTGCAGTGATTCACTTAAGAAACGTTGTGGTCGTAAATTGAGCAGTACCTGTGTAAAGGTCTTAGGAAAAAAAAAATACAGCCACACATGGAAAAAGAAATGTCAAAACCAACTGGGCAGTCTTCGATTTGCCATCATTTGGATTAGTTCAGAGTTACGACGGCGCTGAAAAAAAAAGAGACGACCGCTTTTCACACTTGCGACCACTGCAGCCTCCCCGTATGGTCACATGATCAAAGTTTGGGCCCTTGGCAACCGGCATGTATTTATGACAACTGCACTGTCCTGGGATCGTGTGATCACCATTTTGTAACCCTCCCAGCCAGCAAAAAGTCACAAAATGGGGCAAAAGTCATTTAAAGAACTGCCTTGCTTAGCAATGGAAACGTTGGGCTCGATTGGAGTCGTAAGTCGAGGACCACCTGTATGAGGTGACCATTCTCTTCCGCCAAGCCCATAGCTTCAGGAGGGATGTGCAGGGAACAGTGAGGGAGGAAGGAGATCTCCCCTGAGCCAGTCAGATCACCCGATCAACTCTGGTGGTCAAGGGGGTGACAGATGTGGCAGCCAGATCACCCTCATGCCCTGGAAATCAGCTCAGGCCAGATAAAACTATGTAAACATGAGACTGATGCTCAAGAGGGAGAGAAAAGGACAGACACAAACCCACTGCATTAAAAGGGCAGAGGACAACACCCTACGATTTAAAACCCAGGAATTATTTAGTTGCATCAAATCCCGGAATCTTCCAATGCTTTTCAAATGTGGGCTGAGTTTTGGGGAATCAATCCCACCACGCCTGCTTTGTTTGCATATTAGTAACCACTCTGTCAAGGGGTTTTAAGGAAGCATCTGTGGAAGTCTGAAGGAGCTGCAGGAAATCAATACGACTTTCGAAAAAAATCAGAAAAAAAAACCACAATTAACGGTAGACGAGAGGAGGAGAAACATAAAGAAACTGTTTAACTGATTAGCAGGAAGGTGAATGCTACTATAATGAAACATTAATTTTCCATCAACATTCTCAGAACCGATGTAGATTCCTCAGAAAAGTCCGTGATAGTAGACAGAAATGCATATGACAGTGGTGGCGAACCTATGGCACGGGTGCCAGAGGCGGCACTCGGAGCCCTCTCTGTGGGCACGTGCACCATGCCCCAGAGATGGCAACCATCCCTCTTCAACCAGCCGCTCGTTACCTCGCTGAGGTCCCAGCATGGCTGGTTTCCCTCCCTCCCACCGTCCCATCCCTCCTGGCCTCGCATGCTCTCCTTTTCCTAGACACAACCCACTGCATCGCCTCCTCAGCTGTCTGTTATCCATCCAGCTCAGAGGCGGCTTCTCTGAACTGCTGGCAGTGGGCTGCAGAGCCCCAGAGTGCATAGGTCGAGGGGCCGGTAGGCTGTGGCTGCTGACTGACACCGTCGGCCCCCATGCGCTCACTGGCCTCTGCGTGCAGGGACCGATGGTGTCAGGCAGCAGCCACCCCAGCCCCTGCCTTGCCTTGCCCTGCGACAATGGCACCTCCACCATGCCTTGCCTTGCCTTGCCTCACCCTGCAGGACAAGCCTCCTGCCCACCACCCCATCTGCCAGAGACCCCCCGGATCTTCCCCAACCCTGCCCGACCCCACTGGCGTCCCTCCCCATGAGCAACATCAAGGTCACCACGCCCACCTTGGCCACACCCACCCAGTTTGCCATGACTACCACAGCCACGCCCACCCAGTGGGCCATGCCCACCTGGCACCCGGCGATACACAAGTGGGTTTTGGGTTGCAGTTTGGGCACTCGGTCTCTAAAAGGTTTGCCACCACTGGCATATGATCAAAATCTAACTTCTGGGCTATGTATTAAATATAGTATACTATTAACTCAAGCCACCCACATTTTCATATTTTCTTTCTTGCTACTTACTAGTACCAATTCTTCGGTAGTCCTAGACTTACAACGGTTCATTTAGTGACCAAAGTTACAACGGCACTAAAAAAGAGGGACTTATGGCCGTTTTTCACACTTATGACTGCTGCAGCATCCCCATGGTCACATAACCAAAATTCAAACGCTTGGCAATTGACTCAGATTTATGATGGTCGCAGTGTCCAGGGTCACATAATCCCTTTTTGCTACTTACATTGTTTTCGTCTTGCACTCTCACTTCTTTAAGGACTTTCCTTGTTCTTGGGCTAGCCATGGTCCTGTAGGAGAAAAACAATCAACGTAAACAAGATTCAGACAGCATAGAGGAGTTTATATCAGAATTGGGACCACACATTAAGTTAAGATGATTTATTGCTCATGTGTACTATACACAATGATTTAGTCAACTAACAGGCAGCATTAAATTAGTGCTAGATAAGAGTCAATGGCATTCCAAAGGTACTTATACCAGAGATCCCCAACTCCTGGTCCATGGGCCGGTACCGGGCCGCAGCATGCCAGCAACTGGGCCACACAAATAAGCAAAGCCCCATCCATGGAATGCAGGCAGCATGCAAAACCACGCACCCTCCGGTCTGCGGAAAAACCTCTCCCCGTGGAACTGGTCCCTGCTGCCCAAAAGATTGGGGACCTCTGACTTAGACCATTAAGGATTCCAGAGTGATCCTTCATTTGACTCCAGCCCTAGGTTCTGCCTCTCCTCCTACAGTTTAGCAGAAAATATTATAGGCATTCCCTGATTTGTCAATCTGAAAGCAGCTGGGAGATCAACTATGAATTCTTTCCCACTAAGGCCATACTTGGAATACTGCATCCAGTTTTGGTCACCACAATGTAAAAAAAGATATTGAGACTCTAGAAAGAGGACAGAGAAGAGCAACAAAGATGATCAGGGGACTGGAGGCTAAAACATACAAGGAACTGTTGCTGGAATTGGGCATGTCTAGTTTAATGAAGAGAAGGACGAGGGGGGACATGATAGCAGTCCCAATATCTCAGCGGCTGCCCCAAACAAGAGGGAGTCAAGCTGTTCTCCAAAGTGCCTGAAGGCAGGACAAGAAGCAACGGATGGAAACTAATCAAAGAGAGAAGCAACCTAGAACTAAGAAGAGACTTCCTGACAGTTAGAACAATTAACCAATGGAACAACCTGCCTCCAGAAGCGGTGAATGCTCCAACACTGGAAGTTTTTAAGAAGAGACTGGTCAGCCGTTTGTCCGAAGTGGTATAGGGTTTCCTGCCTGAGCAGGGGGTTGGACTAGATGACCTCCAAGGTCCCTTCCAACTTAATTATTATTATTATTATTATTATTATGGATCATCGCACAGTCAGCCAGATGTTCAGACTGGATTTGGCATTTTGTCTACCTATCAAGTCGTTACCCAGGACCTGGGATAGGCAGATGTGGATGTTAGATGGTATTACAGGTATCGTCGCAGGATGGAAGCAGTTCCTAATAAGGCCGCCTTTTGCAATTGACTAATAGCGAATTTGTCAATGCCAATGGTGTTCAACTGGTGCTCCAGTTGTTTTGGGATTGCACCCAAGGAGCCTATGACTATTGGTACTACCCTTGCTTGCTTTTGCCACAGTCTTTCTATTTCTATTTGTAGATCTTTGTATTTTGTTATCTTCTCCAGTTCTTTCTCGTCTATTCTGCTGTCTCCAGGCACCACCACCACTACTACTACTACTACTACTACTACTACTACTACTACTACTACTTATTATTATTATTATTATATCAGAGAATTCATATCAATAAGGTTACCCACTATCGCAGTTTGAAGTAGTGCTTTTGTCCATGATCTAACTGCAGCAACAAAACACAATAATGCCAGACAGGAAGGAAAAAGTAGGCCAGCGTTCTCTAGCTTGGATCACAATCTGCAAACCATGCTTTGAAAGGGAACCAAGATTTAATAAATATTGTCAGGGAATTGTTCTTCCGCAATGAAAAAGATGAAGAGAATAATTCTAGTGGAACATTATGAGAGATACTCGTGCATGAACCGTTTTTATAGCAGGCTTTGCATTTTTTTAAAAAGGAACGAACTTTTATTTAACAGACGTCATTTTGAAGGATGCCTATTCACAACTGGGAAAATCCAAAACCTTTTAAGTTTTAACTGCCAACTCAACAAAATATTATTTTTTTAAAAGCCCTGTGCTTTTCTAGCTTTTATCATCTTTCGCTGATAAAAACCAGAGTTGCAGCAAAAATTATAAGGAAAACCAGAATATCTGCTGGAAACTCCTATCTCACATGAGAAAAGGTGAGAAAGTTCTACTTTCCAGCTGATCGGCGTTTCTTCGGGACTGTCAGGGCTCAGTGGAAATGCCAGGATCAGCAACAGGCTCCAGCTGGAAAGCAGCACTGATCCTGGTGCTTCTGCTGAGCCCAGAAGAAGCGCCGATCAGCTGGAATGTTGCAGCATCTCCAGGATCTTGTGATTTACATTCAGATGCTTGGCAACTGATTCATATTTATGAAGGTCCCAGTGTCCCAGGGTCATGTGAAGTGACCAAAACCTGCTGCAACCACCCAGCAGACAGGGGGAATAAAAACCAAACACCCCCCACCCCACCCCTGCTGCCAATCCCCAACAGAAATGCTCACAATAATGAAAACCTCGGACAGGAGGAAGAGCGCGGCCGGGCAGGCAGGTGGGTGTCTTGCTCGGCTGTGGCTTGGGGGGCACTTTTTTCATTGCCATTGTAACTTCGAACAATCACTAAGCAAACTGTTGTAAGACGAGGACTATCTGTACTTTATCACTTTTTTCCTTTTTTTGGGGGGGGTCATCAAGTTTTTGACACCTTGCTAGGTGACTGGTGGTACTCGGATGTTGCCATATCCTAAAAGTGGTACAATGGGTGAGAAGGTTGAAAAGCCCTGTTTTATAGTATTTGAAATTGTGGCGTGAGAATTGATTGCACTTGAGGTGACTGGTCGCACTAATATATTATATTAATAGTGATCCGACGAGGTTCCTGTGGAATTGAGGTTATTAAGATGCGCTTATTTAGATGCTGCTGATATTGTTGCCATTTTTGCTGCAGGCTGCTTAGATCTGCCCCAACTGAAGCTGCAAAAACCTAAAAATCGAAATAAAATCCAGGCAGTCAATCAGCATTCACGAGGAAACCTGTACCATCTGAAAGGACAGGCGATGGGTGGGTTCAGAAAGGTGACTTCTCGGCACAACTTGTCTATGCTTTAGATTTGAAGTAGTCATTTCTTTTAAATGACTGCTATAATCAAAATACTGTCAAGGTGCTAAGCTTTGTGGAATACATAGAGAATTGCCAGAGAGAGAGAGAGAGAGAGGGAGACAGACAGACAGACAGACAGACAGAGAACAGAGAGGACAAGGTGAAGAGAATTAAACTGCATTATTTTTGGCTAAGGGTCAACAGTATCTTTCTTCTTTTAATGAAACAAAGCAATTAAAACTCTGCAACAGCCTGTGGTGAAATGAAAGGGAACCCCAAATCTTTATGAACAATGTACACTGCAGTAGTTAACCTCTTAGAGTAGAGGTCCCCAACCTTGGCTGGGGAATTCTGGGAGTTGAAGTCCACAGGTCTTATAGTTGCCAAGGTTGGGGACCCCTGTCTTAGAAGTTTTCTCCTGCAAACCTTGGTAGCCTAAACAGAAATGGGGTTACTGTACCTCTTTGTGAAATGTGAAAAGATAATACTGACTTATGACCATTTAATAATCGTTCAAAGTTACGACGTTGCTGAAAAAAGTGATTCATGACCAGTCCTTGTATTTATGACCACTCAAGTGGCCCAGCAAAGAATGTGATAGAAATTTGGCCACGTGACGGTCAGTATCTATTTGTGACAATTGCAGCACTCCAGGCATTGCGGGATCGCCATCTGCAACCTTCCCCGGGGGCTTCTGACAAGCAAAGTCAACACAAAACAATAATTGACTTTGCTGATCAGTGATTTACTTTAAGGTGTGATTCACTTTTGCTACCTTGTGGCAAAAAAGATTGCAAACTTGGGCATGGCTCACCTAACGACTGCTTAGCAATGGAAGTTCCAGTCCCAATTGTGGCTGTAAGTCAAAGACTACTTTTATATTATTTCCCGGCTAGTAATTATTTCTTGCTGTTAGCTCATTTGTTTTTATTTCTGCACATCATCTTTTATTTGGGGAGGCCCTAAGTAGGCAAGAATCATTTTGAGTAGCTCCAGTATTCCAAAGTCATACAGATTTTATGTCATAACATTATTTAATGTTAGTTTGTTCGCTTAACAGTGAGACACTAGTAAAGCAGTGTGGGAAGTCACCCCCCGCCCTAGAGAAAGAATTTTTTTGGGAAATATTTAAACGACAGAATATATTTCCCTAAAGGATTTAAAGGCAGAAACCAAGACACACACACACCCGAGTCTCTCTGTCCCAAACGGAAACCAAGTCTGCAGAACTGCAGATGTGATAATCTTGTCAGAAAGTCTGGAATCAGGAAACTGGGATCAGGAAGAAAGATCCCTAGAATCAACACCAAAAATCTAAGAATCATCAGCCACAACCACAGGAAAGCAGGATATGACCCTTGGGACATAATAGGATTAACTCACCACCATCAGAATACCAGAAGGGCACACTCAAACTCAGGTCAAAGTTCATGCCACAGGAACAACTCCAAACAAAAGGCTCCAGAGGGTATAAAAACCCACTCCCTACATGTGCTCGTTCTCTTTTCTTGCAGAACCATCTTTGTGTCTGGCTCTCCTCTTCAATAAACTGCAACCTTCTTTCTAAAGCAGTCACCATGTTGTTTATTCCCGGCTTGGACTGAACCACGATGAAGACTTCCTTCAACAGAGGGCACAGGAGAATCTGCATTTTCTGCATCGTACGAGAAGAACACATCTTCCTTCTCCTGTCCTTACCACTTTCCGTAGAGGGACGATTGAAAGCACGCTGTCATATTGTATTACTCTCTGGTTTTGAAATATTACTGTTTCAGACAGGAAGGCTGTGCAGAGAGTGGTGAGGCACGCTGGCTGAGGAATTCTGGGAGTTGAAGTCCACAAGTCATGAAAGGGCTAAGTTTGAAGACCCCTGCCCTATACCATCTCAGAGATTATAGAATCTCTTCATAAAAACCTCCAGGGATGGAGCACCCACAACTTCAGAAAGCAAGCCATTCTACTGATTAATTGTTCTAACTGTCAGGAAATTTCTCCTTAGTTCTAGGTTGCTTCTCTCCTTGATTAGTTTCCATCCATTGTTTCTTGTCCTGCTCTCAGGTGCTTTGGAGGATAAGTTGACCCTCCTCTCCTTTGTGGCATCCCCTCAAATATTGGAAGGTTGCTATCATGTCACCCTTTTTTTTTATTAAAGTAGGCTTACCCAATTCCTGCAACTGTTCTTCGTATGTCTTAGCCTTCAGTCCCCTAATCATCTTTGTTGCTCTTTGCACTCTTTCCAGAGTTTCAACATCTTTCCTTTCACGATAAAATGTTTTTTTTTTCCACCACAAAATCAGGAAGAGACATCATCTGAGTCACTGAATTTCAACCCGAGCCTAGGGCAGGAATCCAGATTATCCAAGTTAAATGGTTACCTTGACTTCACTTAGGCACATTCATTGAAGGGAGCCAGGCTACATCTTTACATTGACAATTCTGTGTCAAAGTGCTTCTACTGTTAGGATTTATTTTTTCTAAAAGTACTGTAAATCAAAGTTTACTTTCTATTACTTAAATGCATTAGTCCATGACTAACCTCTGGAATGAAAGAGCACAGGTCTTGAGCTTCTGTGAGACACTAATTTATTTAAAAGATAATAATAATAATGATGATGATGATAAAGTTGGAAGGGACCTTGGAGGTCATCTAGTCCAACCCCCTGCTCAGGCAGGAAACCCTATACCATTTCAGAAAAATGGCTGTCCAGTCTCTTCTTAAAGACTTCCAGTGTTGGAGCATTCACCGCTTCTGGAGGCAGGTTGTTCCACTGGTTAATTGTTCTAACTGTCAGGAAGTTTCTCCTTAGTTCTAGGTTGCCTCTCTCTTTGGTTAGTTTCCACCCGTTGCTTCTTGTCCTGTCTTCAGGCACTTTGGAAAATACCTTCTTCTTTGTGGCAGCCTGAGATATTGGAATACTGCTATCATGTCCCCGCTCACCTACTCTTCGTTAAACTAGACACACCCAATTCCAGCAATCGTTCCTTATATGTTTTAGCCTCCAGTCCGCTAATCATCTTTGTTGCTCTTCTCTGTACTCTTTATAGAGTCTCAACATCTTTTTTCATCGTGGTGACCAAAACTGGATGCAGTATTCCAAGTGTGGCCTTACCAAGGCATTGTAAAGTGGTGTTAACACTTCACGTGATCTTGATTCTATCCCTCTGTTAATGCAGCCTAGCACTGTGTTGGCTTTTTTGGCAGCTGCAGCACACTGCTGGCTCATATTTAAGTGATTGTCCACTAGGACTCCGAGGTCCCTCTCACAGTACCTACTATTGAGCAAGGTACCCCCTATACTATACCTATACATTTGGTTTTTCTTGCCTAAATGTAGAACCTTACTTTTTTCACCATTGAATTTCATTTTGTTAGATAGCGCCCAGTGTTCAAGTTCGTCCAGATCCTCCTGTATCCTAAGCCTGTCTTCTGGAATGTTGGCTATTCCTGGCAGCTTGGTGTCATCTGCAAATTTGATGAGTTCCCCCATCTATCCCCTCATCTAGATCGTGGATGAAGATATTGAAGAGCACTGGGCCCAGAACAGAGCCTTGGGGCACCCCACTACACACTTCCCTCCATGTAGATGCAGTTCCATTGAGGACCACACGCTGAGTACAGCCGGTCAGCCAGCTACGGATCCATCTGGTGGTGATGCTGTCTAACCCGCATTTTTCTATCTTATCAAGTAGTAGGTTGTGGTCTACTTTGTCAAATGCCTTACTGAAGTCCAAGTAAATTATATCCACAGCATTCCTCTGGTCCACTAATTTTGTCACTTGGTCAAAGAATGCAATAAGATTTGTCTGGCATGATCTGCTTTTGACAAACCCGTATTGGCTTTTAATAATGACTTTGTTTGTCTGTAGGTGTTCGCTGATTTGTTGTTTGATTATCTTTTCCAGAATCTTCCCAGGTATTGAGGTCAGGTTGACAGGTCTGTAATTTCCTGGGTCCTTTTTTTCCCCCTTTTTTTGAAGATGGGAACTACATCAGCTCTGTATGGCCACCCATCTTAAAGCCCACCGGGGGGTGGGGAGAGGGAAGAGAAGATGCTTTTCCAAAATTATCATATTGCCCCAACATCTTTTTTGTCAAAGCTAAACAACTTCAAATCAAATCAAATCAACATTTATTGTCAAAGTACATGTGTACAATGAGATTGGCTAAGCCTCCCTCCGTGCACCCCCCCAACACAACTCACAGTGACAACAAACCCACCATCTTATTATACCATGTGAACTTATTGCACAACGCGCCGGCTCCGCAAGTCTATCATATGTGGAGTTATTTCCCATTCAGGAGTCTGACAGCCCATGGGTAGAAACTGTTCTTCAGCCTGTTGGTGCAGCTGGCTATGCTTCTATATCTCCTAGCCGATGGTAGGAGAGTAAAGAAGTGCCAACCAGGATAATAATAATAACAACAACAACAATAATAAAGTTGGAAGGTATCTTGGAGGTCATCAAGTCCAACCCCCTGCTCAGGCAGGTAACCCTATACCAGTGTTTCCCAAACTTGACAATTTTAAGGCATGTGGACTTCAACTCCCAGAATTCCACAGCCAGCGTTGCTGGCTGTGGAATTCTGGGAGTTGAAGTCCTCATGCCTTAAAATTGTCAAGTTTGGGAAACTCTGCCCTATACCATTTCGGACAAATGGCTGTCCAGTCAATTCTTTCCATCTCGCTTCACAAAACTGCAGGTAGTTCTCGACTTATGACCACAACTGAGCCCCAAATTTCCATTGTTAAGCAAGACTGTTAAGTGAGTTTTGCTCCATTTTGTGACCTTTCTTGCCACAGCTGTTAAGCGAATCATTGCAATTGTTAAGTTAGTAATACTGCAGTTAGGTGAATCTGGCTTCCCCATTCACTTTGCTTGTCAGAAGGTCGCAAAAGGTGATCATATGACACCCAGGACCCCGCAACCGTCATAACTACATGCCAATTGCCAAGCCTTCAAATTTTGATCACGTGACCATGGGGGTGGAGCAACGGTCCTAAGTGTGAAAAACAGTTGTAAGTCACTTTTTTTTCAGCGCTGTTGCAACTTCAAGCAGTCACTAAATGAATGGTTGTAAATTGACATCTATCTATAGTTTCCTAATCATCTCTGCCACCCCATGTCAAAATCTGCTCTAATTCTTCTGAATCCTTTTTAGCTCACTGTGCCCAGAAATGGGCAAGATCCTCAGGGTGGGATGCAAAGCAGGCCGAATAAACAGAAACCCCAATTTCTCACGATTTGGAAATAGAGGATGGGATGGAATAGAATTAAGAATAGAATATAGAATATGGAATGGAATGGAATAGAATAGAATGCAGAATAGAATAGGGTAGGGTAGGGTACGGTAGGGTAGGGTAGGGTAGGGTAGGGTAGGATAAGAACAGAACAGAACAGAGCAGAGCAGAATATAGAACAGAATAGAGAATAGAGAATAGGGAATAGGGAATAGGATAGGATAGGATAATAGAATAAGAACAGAGCAGAGTAGAATATAGAACAGAATAGGGAATAGGGAATAGGGAATAGGGAATAGAATAGAATAGAATAGAATAGAATAGAATAGAATAGAATAGAATAGAATAGAATAGAATAGAATAGAATAGAATAGAATAGAATATAGAATAAATTTTTTATTGGCCAAGTGTGATTGGACACACAAGGAATTTGTCTCCGGTGCATAAGCTCACATACAGCAAGCAATAGGTCATAGATCATCAATTATAGTTACAATCATTAACCATAAGACACAACAACTGACAAATTGTTAAGACACCAACAGGAGAAGATAGTAGATAAGATGAGAAATTGAGATAATGCTTCCTTCCAGGCATCCTCAAACTGCCCAGCATTTTCGCCTGCAGCCCCCTCCCCATCCAAGCAGGACCTGAATCTGCCACCGACTATTATTCCAATATTTTTTTTGGGGGGGAGGCGAGAACCATGGGCAAGCCAAGGACCTCCCATCTCTCTCCCCTCCCCCTTTTATGCATTGGTGTTAGATTCTTGGAAGGCAGAAGCTGATATTTGGCCTCTGGTAATTTTCATTCATTATTTCTCCCGCCTCTTTCTGCGGGGGGGGGAGCCCAATTTGGATTTCATTGCTGTCTTGTGTCCTTCCCACCTAACTCGGGGTGCCCAGCAAATCCCCTCCCCCTTCCAAGGCATTCGAGCAGATCCCTGGGGAATCCCACTGGGGGGTGGGGGGGCTCCTAGCCCACCTCCCTCCCCAGAGACGCCACAGTCTTGAGGGGAGCCAAGATTCAACCCGGATCCCCCTTAGGAAAAAGGGGGGGACAAAAGAGGAAGGGGCTGAGGAGGGGAGGGGGAGGGGGGCTGCATGTAGCCTGAGGGGAGGGAGGGAGGGAGAAAAGCCCACTCCCCTTCTGCGTTTCCCTCAGCTTGGGACATACCCGACTAGGCGAAGGGCAAAGCGGCTACTCCGGAGTCGGCGAACGAACCACCGTTGCCCTCAGTCCGTCAACCAGCCTGGAAACCTCTCAGCCGGCTTTTTTTTTTTTCGCCTCTCACTGCGCAGGCGCTGCCTTTGCCACGGCCGGCTACGTTGCCACTTTGCAAAGGATGCCGGGTAACTTTGCCAAGCCACGAGAATGTGGGGGGGGAAAGAGACCGCAAGACGGAGTACGCATGCGTCCAGGGCCCGCCTCCGCCTGAAATACGACGCCTCGACGATGGAGTGGGGTGGTGGTGATGGACAGGACCGCGCGCCCCGAGGGGGAGGAGAAAAGCGGGGGGGAGGGACCAGTCACGCGGCAAGGAGCCGGCGCGCGGGTTGGTGAGTTCCGCGCGAGCCGGCGAAAGAGGCGCCCATTGGTGGGGAAGCCCGGCAGGCGCTTCTGCACGGATGATTTCCGGGTGTGCGGGAAGCGGTTTCACACGTGCCTAACTAGAGACGAACGTGGGAACTGTAGATTGGGGGGGTGATTTTGCTGGGTATGGACGGCGTAAAGGAAAAGGAATCAGGGCTGGGTAGTATATATGTAAAGAATTGAAATGATTTAAGAATTGAAATGATCCAACTGGTAGTATCTTTCCAGTTTTGCATTTAGCTGCAAAGTTACAGTATGCCTGCACAGAGAAAAGCCAATTAAGCAGGTCGGTTTCAGAAAAGGCTCAGTGAACTGAATCAAAGGGCTGAATGGGGCTGTGGGAAGTCAGGCCTAACCCCAGAGAAGGAAATATTAAAAGGGCAGAATATTATATTTCCTCTTCTTCTTGTTGTGCCATATCTGTTATCGGATGTTGGCAATCCTCAAAGAATCTTAAAAGAGGCAGAAAAGCATGCCCAGTTTTTCTTAATAGCCCCAAGTCTCCCTCCCCCAAGCAGAAATCAGCTCTGTAGAAATGTAGATGTAACAATCCATTCAGGAAGGTTGGAGCCCTCCAGCTAGAAGCTTAGGAAGACAAAGACACCTACAATCTACATATTCCACCCAAACTCTAAGACAGGACATAATAGGATTAACCCACAGATGCCAAAGGGGCACACTCAGACTCAGATCAAAATACATGACACAGGAAATACAAAGCCTTAAACAGGAAACAACTCCAAACAAACGCCCAAGAGAGTATAAAATCCACTCCCTACTACATACAGACTCTCTTTTCTTCTGGAGCCATCTTTCTGTCTGGCTCTCCTCTTCAATAAATGGCAACCTTTCTAAAGCAGTGGCCATGTTGTTTATTCCTGGCTTGGACTGGACCCTGATGATGATTTTTCCTTCAACAGGGCCTTGGAGGTCTTCTAGTCTATACCCCCCCCCCAATGGCAGGATTCCTTATACTATCCTGAATAAATGGTTTTTCAATCTTTTCTTGAAAACTTCCAGCTAGGGGACACACAAGACTCCGGGAGGCAAACTGTTCCATTGATCAATCATTCTCACTGCCAGGAAATTCTTGTTTCCAGATTGGATCAGAGGAGGAGGAGGAGGTGCTGTTCCTTGGTATAGCCTTCCAATATATAAAAAAAACATTAAACAAAACTAAGCTATGAACAAACCTATACAGCATATTAAAAAGCAGAGATATCACCTTGCTGACAAAAATCCATATAGTCAAAGCTACGGCTTTCCCAGTACTAATGTATGGCTGTGAGAGTTGGACCATAAGGAAGACTGAGCTCAGAAGAATTGATGCTTTTGAATTGTGTTGGAGAAGACTCTTGAGCAGGGGTGTCAAACTCAATTCCATTGAGGGCCGCATCAGTATTGCAGTTGCCCTTGGGGGTGGGTGGGTGGGTGCGGCCTACTGGGTGGGCGTGGATGGAGTGGGTGTGGCCTACTGGGTGGGCGTGGCCAGCTCTACATCGTTTGCGTCAAGGGTGCCTGTAGGGGCCTGGGCAGGAGTGGGACAGATCTGAGGGTCTCTGGCAGAAGGGGGTGGGACCAGGGTAGAGCCCATCAAGCCGGATATGTGAAGTAGGCAAGGGCCATTTGCTGGCCACTTCCAGGCGATGGTGCATTTCTTCAATCCTCACTAAGGGCGACACCTCCCCAGCATGCACCCAAAGGGTGGGGCCAATACAGCAGGGGCTGGTTCCTTGCTGTTTCTAGACGGCCTTGTGGACCTAAGACTGAATAGATGGCCACCACAAAATTGTACATTGGCTCCCGGCCCGGGCCAGGGCTAAGGCAGAGGCGGCCGTTCCCTCACTGTTTCCAGGATGGCTTTGCGGGCCACATGGAACCACTTCGCGGGCCACATCCAGCCCCCGGGCTTTGTGTTTGACATGTCTGCTCTTGAGAGTCCCTCTGACTGCAAGGAGATCCAATCAGTCGGTCCTAAAGGAAATCAACCCTGACTGTTCTTTGGAAGGACAGAGACAGAAGCTGAAGCTCAAATCCTTTGGCCACCAAGTGAGACGGGAGGACTCGTTGGAGAAGACCCTGATATTGGGGAAGACGGAAGGCAAAAGAGGACAGAGGAGGATGTTGGAAGAAAAGCTTCATCATGGTTCATCAAGCTGGGAATAAACATAGCAACTGCTTTGGGAAGAAGGTTGTAGTTTATTGGAGAGGAGAGCCAGACAGGAAGATGGTTCTGGCAGCAAGAGAAGTGGAAAAAAAGGGCTGAGCACATGTAGGAAGTAGGTTTTTATACGCTCTGGAGCCTTTTGTTTGGAGTTGTTCCTATGGCATGAACTTTGACCTGAGTCTGAGTGTGCTTTTCTGGTATTCTGATGGTGATGGTTCAATCTTATTATGTCCAAAGGTCATATCCTGCTTCCCTGGGGCTGATGACTCTTAGAGTTTGGATGGGGTATGTAGATTTTAGGTCTTTGTCATCTTAATCTCCTAGCTCCCTGGATTTACATCTGCATCTCTATATAACTGGTTTCTGCTTGGGGAAGTGAGACCTGGGGCTATCAAGGAAAACTGGGCATGCTTTTCTGTCACTTTAAGATCCTTGGAGGAAATATATTTTTCTGCCCTTTTAATATTTCCTTCTCTGGGGGGGTGGCTGACTTCCCACAAGGAGAAGATTATTGTCATTGATGCAAGGAACATGAATTTGAGCAGACTCAGAAAATGGAGGACGGGGGGGGGCCTGGCGTGCTGTGGTCTGTAGGGTCACAAAAAGCCAAGCACAACTTAGCGACTGAATAACAATGAAACAAATCTGATAGGGCAAGGGTCTCCAGCCGAGGCAACTTTACAACTTGTGGACTTCAACTCCCAGAATTCCTCAGCCAGCATGGCTGGCTAAGGAATTCTGGGAGTTGAACTCCACAAGTCGTAAAGTTTCCATAGTTGGTGACACCTGTGATAGGGAATGATGTAGGTTTCATTTAGTAATGTCATGGAACAATTTGTGTGAATAGCCTCAAGGTGGCGCTGTTAGATAGTCCTTATGCAACTCCATTGCTAACCTGTTTGAATTTTGATTTCTGACTGTGTTTCTGTCTCTGATTCTCTCATTCAGCCTTGGATTAAATCTAAGAACATTCACATATGCTCCAGAAGAGTGTTTTTTCAAACTTGGCAACTTTAAAGAGGGCGGACTTCAACTCCCAGAATTCCCCAGCCAGCTGAAGTCTGCACATCTTAAAAAGTTGCCAAGTTTGAAAAACACTGCTCCAGAGAATTCAATTCTGTATATGATCAAATTACCCCAGGCAATTTGCAAGCTTCAGCACTACTTTGATTTACAGGCTCCCCATGTTACATTTAACTGGGTGGATGGAGTTGCAATGGGGAGTGGGTTAATTGAGTCAGCAAACTAGCTTCAATTTAGCAGAGTTTTGCTTAGAGTTAAACTTAATGGCCACCCAGTCTGCTGTGGGATGGAAACACCCAAATCTGGGGGATCTCCCATTGGCTTAGAATTTAAAAGAAAGAGAAGAAAAAGAGCTGGAGGAAAAAATAACAGTTTGACAAGCAAATTTATAGAACTTGCTGCCAAGGTGTGAAAACATAAAACATACCTCCCAACAGAGGGTCAGGTAGGCCTCATCTTACAACCATTTGTTTATATGATTGCTACAACTTACAACTGTAATTCTGGGTTCAATGACAGTCGGAAGTCAAGAATTGCCTTTATGAAAGGAGCAGAGCTTACTCTGTGACATACAATGCTGTGTTTGTTGCACAGATGTAGAATAGGTGGTGCTTGCCTCTGTGAGTAGCCAGTAACTGTGAGAGGAATCTCAGAGTCCTAGTGGACAATCCCTTAAATATGAGCCAGCTATGTGCTGCAGCTGCCAAAAGAGCCAACACAGTGTTAGGCTGCATTAACAGAGGGAAAGAATCAAGATCACGTGAAGTGTTAATACCACTTTACAATGCCTTGGTAAGGCCACACTTGGAATACTGCATCCAGTTTTGGTCACCACGATGTAAAAAAGATGTTGAGACTCTAGTACAGAGAAGAGCAACAAAGATGATTAGGGGGCTGGAGGATAAAATATACGAAGAACAGTTGCAATTATTGGATATGTCTAGTTTAATTAAAAGAAGAACTAGGGGTGATATAGCAGTCTTCCAATATTCAAGGGGCTGCCACAAAGAATAGAATAGAATAGAATAGAATAGAATAGAATAGAATAGAATAGAATAGAATAGAAGGGACCTTGGAGGTCTTCTAGTCCAGCCCCCTGCTCAAGCAGGAGAACCTATACCATTTCAGACAAGTGACTGTCCAGTCTCTTCTTAAAAACCTCCAGTGATGGAGCGCTCACGATTTCTGGAGGCAAGCTGTTCCACTGGTTAATTGTCCTCACTGTTAGGAATTTTCTCCTTAATTCCAGGTTGCTTCTCTCTTTGATCAGTTTCCAACCATTGTTTCTTGTCCTGCCCTCTGGTGCTTTGGAGAATAATGCGGCCCCTTCGTCTTTGTGGCAGCCTCTCAAATACTGGAATACTGCTATCATGTCACCCCCTATTTCTTCTTTTCTTTAGACTAGCCAAACCCAAGTCCTGCAGCTGTTGTTCATATGTTTTAATCTCCAGGCCTTTGATCATCTTAGTTGCTCTTCTCTGATTTTTTTTTCCAAACTCTCAACATCTTTTTTGTGATATGGTGAC